CTTTGTTTTTAAGTTATTGCATTCACAAGAAAAGTTGACCTCTCACTGTTCATGTCACCCACCCACCCGGCCGTCTGCCAGGCAGGGTGACAATACTCCATCGGCCCTTTTACGGCTCAGAGGTAACAACTGAACTGTAGCCTCCCACTGTGATGGGATCTAGTTTGATGATCACTTGTTCCCTTGGAAGGTGTCACTGCAAGGCAAAGTTTTTCTTAGCATTCACCTCTATTAAGATGAAACACAGTGGACCACATCATAGTGGTCTGTTTCAGCATGACAGTGACCTCAGCCTCAGGGCATGGAGGCTTACTGAAGGGTTTAATGAAAATCAAAATGGTGTGAATTCTCTGCTATTGACTACACAGTCACCAGATCTCAACCTTGTTTGGAAAACGTAGTGTTAGACAGGATTCACCACCACTGCCATCAAAAAACCAAATGAGGAATATCTATAGAAACACTTTATTGTCTTGATCCCAGTTTCAGATTCTTGGTTTCACTGTTTTAAGTCATGATCAGGGCATTCCTGTTTTCTGGTTTCCTGGTTTCCTTCACACCTGATCTGCTGCTCTTCATGTAGCCGTGTGCAGCAGATCATCGCCAGATTGTCTTCACCTCTTCGGTGCCCACCAGCCGTCAGCTGAACTCAACTCAACCGGTCCGTGATCTCCAGCCTTCTTTCCTGGAGATTTCCAAACGCTTTTCGGAACCAGTAAATCGCGCCCTCCTAACCGCTACCACCTGCCCACTCTCTGCCAAACTCCCCAGTGCCCTGGATTGTAGTATGGACTCTTCCTTCCTGGTTATGGAAATATCACAGCAAAAGTAAGGCTGAAGACTTTGACTGCCTGCTTTGGGATTCATTCACTACTGCTCACTTACACTCTCTCTCTCCTCCACAGATTGCACAGTTCACCCCCGTTGTTTGTGAGAGCAACTTTTGTGTTTGTTGGATTTCTGGATTCCTGGTTTGGTTTTTCTTTGCTAATAAACTGGAAACTTTATCGTGACATCCTTTCGTGTTTGAGTTCAGTTTTTGCTTTATAGTTATTCCAGAGATGAGTTTCAGTTTTGCAGCCCTGCCTTTTGGCTCATGTCTTGATTTCTATTAGTAGTTTTCAGTTGCCCTTAATCTTTCCTGTGTCTAGCCTCTGTGTTTATGTCTCGGTTCTCCTGTGCTCACTTGTCTGACATTTTGTTAAGTGTTAGTGTTCATGTCTGGGGCTTACATCATATGTTGATTTAGTTGTGTTTTTGTTCCCCTCCCTACTTTTTTCTTTCTTTCTTCTTCTCTTTCTTTTACTTGTACAGGGTATTCTCTCCCTCTCGCTCTATGACAGCTGGGGCTGGCTCCAGCTGTTCTGTAATCCCACGCTGCATAAACAGTAAGAATGATGGAACTGGCATAATTTGTATCTTGACAGCCTCCAGCCAAACACTCTTTAACTGCACAAGTTCACTGATCAGTCTTTTGTCTATTTGCTCCAGTTCTACAAAACTTCTGGATTTTGATAACAGACTAAGCTAGTACCTGAAAGTCCTTCAAAATGTAGTAAAGCCACAATAATGAGACATGGTGTATTTCTATAGATTGGAAAAACATACTGACTGATATTTTTTGTTGCCTCATTTAGATTTCCACAACTCTAGATGATCAGATTATGCAGTACAGATGAAATATTCTGAACTGAACTGCAGCATTCAGCAAAATGTCAAATGAGTAACACTACAAACAGCAGTTAATAGGTGGGGGCTGAGTCTATGCTCTTTGTGTCTCTGACCTCGTGCCAGATGCACATACACGTAGTTGACGTGAAACAGAAGAACCGACATCAGCTTACCTCCATCTGAGCCAGTCTCCTCTCCAGGTACTGGATTATAAAGGCATCCTGAGACGAGCTTTGGCTCTGGACTGAGCCCACGATCAGACACAAAGATACGAGAAAGAGGGGAAGTATGCCCGACATGACTAAAACTCAATAAGTCTGGCCAGAGTAGTCAGCCCAAGTTTCACTGCCTCTGCAGCTGCAGGGAAACTTTAGTCTTTTTGTTTCTGAAAAACTTGCCAGTATTAGTGAGACCACTTCCTGTATTTCCGGAGCACTCCTGAAGCACAGAGCTCAGTAAAAGTTCTCCAAAGTGAGAGCATACAACAGTTTTGCTGTGTTAAAATCAATCCCAGATTCCTTAAGTGACTGAATTCTTCTCCTTCTGCTTTATTCAGGAAAAGTTGTAGCTCCAGAACTTTCTGCCTTGTTTCTCTAATAAGTTGTTGCTTCACTGGGTTTTGGATCCAAGTGAACCTCACCCACGGTCCCTCCCAGTCTCCCTCTCTTCTAGTTGCTCTGTCTACCTCTCTCGCTCACCCTTCTACACTCCAGTTTTTTGTGCATTTGAGGTATGAGAGAACCATCCAACAGAGGAGGGGGAGAAAGAGAGACAGTGAGCGCTAGAAATAACCCCAACAGTTTATACCCCATTGGTCAATCCAACATTTTTTCCATTGTAATACTCTCCAGATGGCCCACTGACACGTCCTCAGTTCTCCCACAGAGCGAACCATGACCCAATAAAGTTACCAGTTGGATATATTAACCAAATCAGTGCTCTATAACCGGTCTGGAAATATTTCTGAAGTATGAGGACAACCGCCATTTATACTAAACTCCTTCACAAACACACAAATTGTATTTTACAGGCAGGATTTACAGGCTTTATTTTAATATACTGATACAAAACAATAATTACAAAGTTGTCTTTTAATTTCCATTTAATTATTGTTGTCAGGGGGGCTGGAGATAATGCCAGCTACCATAAGAGGAGAGGCAGGTACACCCCGGACAGGTCGCCAGTCTAACACATAGAGACAAACGACCATTCACACCTATGGAAATTTTAGATTTACCAATTAACTGCATGTCTTTGGACTGTGGGAGGAAGTCGGAGTACCTGGAGAGGACCAACACAAACATGGGGAGAACATCCCCCAACAACT